AAATGAATCCAAGTCATGAGAAACAAGAACCTGTGCTGACCTGTGGATCACGACGACGCACTCACGAAACTTGACAAGGTCACCAAAGGTAAGAGCAAAGCGCCGAGCCAGCTCCTTGATGCTGGTGAAGGTCTGGACCCCTGGGTGAGCCCTACCACCGCTCTCCTGCTCCTTTTTAAGACGCACAAACAGCTGGGGAACGCAGGGAAAACCACATCAGCATCTTTCTGCTTGCCAATGGCAGTGAGTGGCTGAAGTTTATTTTTTCAGATGTGTTATGCAGTGACTATACCTGCTGCAAACAGAGCACCAGTGTGCGAGAACTCTCTATCTTATCTATCTGTCTGGTCCTGTACATCGTCTCCTTGATGATGTCTCCAAAGTCGTTATAATACTGCGGAAAAAGAGGAAGAAAATATTATCCCAGACATTTGTTGTACATATCAATGTACAACAAATGTGCTTATTCACTTTCCTGAAGAGTAAAGTGAAAAGATCGATGCCACATATATTTAACCTCTCTGCTAAATATGGAGCTGGAGTTTTGCCTCTCCCATATTATCATTGCATTTAAGTCTCAGTAGCAGTTTTTACGAAACACAATTAGCCGGTGATCTGTGAAAAACCCCGGTCATTTAACAAAACTTCTCATCGTTCATGTGGTATTATAATAAAAACGAAAAAGTATTCCATCTACTGAACGCTAAAAATATTTTAAACCCATTTCTCAAATTGCAGCTATACTTCAGGTACCCAGGTATGACATACTGTATGTCTCTTGCTCTTTTTAAAAACATAAGAAAAATCTTTTGTATGGAAATATAAAATACATACCGATAAAACTGATAATGAAATGTTTAATGTTCAAATTGAGGGAGGAGATGAGTCATCTCCGGCTACCACATCTGATTGAATTAGGAAAAAGAGGCACAACTTGGGAAACATCTTTATCGTTCAGCAGACAGAACTTTTTTTTTCATCCAGATGGTTTGAAGATTCTGGAAAAACCTACAGAGCAACTTTAGCTGTTGCTGAACATCCATCTGGATTTTACTTTTCGGAAAATCTGTTGCGTAGTACTTGAATGTAATGATAATACATCAGCAGCACCAGCTGGGGCAAGGAGCCAGTTAGCTTAGCTTAGCATAAATACTGAAAACAGGGGTAAACAGCTAGCCTGGCTCTGTCCTGAGGTAATAAAATCCATCCAGCAGCACCTCCTCTAAACTCACTAATTAGCACATTGTGTTTTGTTAGTTTAATCCATAGAAACTACAATTTGTGGTTTTACAGGAAGTTGTAGTATATATAGCTATATATCTATAGTTGTATTCAAACATTACACTGTTTTTGGCTGTTTGGATCCAGCAGACAAACTTAATGCTGGTGGGCTGATTTTGTTACTTTTGGACAGAGCCATGCTAGTTGTGTTCCCTTATTTCCTGCCTCTATGCTAAGCTAAGCTAACCAGCTGCTGACTGTACCTTCATATTTACCACACAGACATGAAAGCATTATTAATCTCCTCAGCTAACCCTCTCCAGGAAAGGAAATGTAACGTATTTCCCAAAGATGATGAACTATTCCTTTAAGGAGTTAACCTTTACCTTCATGTAGTACATGAAGACCTCTGCTGCCATGCTCATCTCCAGCACGCCGTGCACTATCAGTTTGCAGAAGGCCGCGAGCAGGTTTCTTCGCTTGTGAAGGTCCTCCAGCTTCTCCACCTCAGAGTTTTCACTCACTGAGGGGGGAGCCAGATGGAGTTGAAGAGCGTGGTTGGATGTGAAGTGGTCGAGAGCGAGAGAGAAGGGGAAGGGGGCGAAGTAAGAGGAGTGATTAATCATGAGAAATCATATAACAGAAAGAAAAGAACAAAGCACAGGCGGGAAAGAGAGTTTTAGTTAGTTTCAGGACAATGGCTTTAGCAGGTGGAAATCAAAGATAACATAAGACTAGAGTTATGGTTGTGACACCATGTGGCTTCAATTTTTCACAAGGCTAATAAAATAGGCTCGGAGGTGAGCCAGAGTTAATGGAATTTTCTCACGGAAAGAGATTGCCCTGATTTTATGATTTAACTCAGTGCCCTTGCCCTCCGAGTGATCTCTGATCCAGCAGCTAATAGAAAACACTGTCTATATAACAAAACCGTTACCAGGCAAATCCAATAAAACAATAGCTTTTTATTACATGTTCAAAAACCAATAATCCTGTATTGTATTTGGTTGAACATTTAAGAGATTCCCACCAGGACAGTTATTGACTTCTCCGGACTCTCCCATATTTGGATGCAATATGTTTCTGAAAGTAGAAGCTATTGTAAAAGATAATAAAATGTTTTAGTTATAGTCAGCCATGAATGAATTCATAAGTTTACCTGCAGGACTTTACGGAGAGAACACCCCGATGTATTTTCAACATGTCACTCTTGTTTTTCTCATTTTCGATCAAACAGGATCACACTGCTGTCATCAATTTACCAGCTGCATCACTTTGCATAACCAAGCCTAACAGCCTTTCATACAAATTAGTCAACACTGTTTCAGTCTGAAGATATTAACAGGGTTTCCTTTGTAATTGAGGGTCAATTGTCAGGTCAGGTTGGCAATCAGGCCCCATTTACAGTCAGCAGGCAGCTCTGCAGTGAGTTATTAAGCCAAATGTGTGGCCGTGCATTTAATACCTGCATGTTCTCACCACGGTGAGCTGCTACTCTGAAGCAATGCTTCACCCAGAGCAGCAAAGGCTCAAGAAACAGGAGGCTCCTCTGGCAGAGTGAGAGTGCCATCTACTGTGCAGCACTGCAACATGTTTTCCCCCGGGTGTCCCAAACACTGCCGGGGTACGTTTGTCAAACACACCACTACAAAGACAAAATATGGATATGGATAAAATATCGATACATTTTTCTGAACAGTTGACTATCTTTACTGCACAGCAGAGCTGGTTAAAAGCAGACTGAGTACAACCAAGATTCAAATAACAGAACATACTGTATATATGGTAATCACAGCACTGGTTACTTTATAGATTAAGAGAGAGGAGAGGCCTGACCCCTAAAGCTGGAAACCTCTGGACTAAATGACCTTCCTTTAAATAGTGTAGTAGTTAAAATAAACTCCACATCGAGCAGCTACAGCAGTAAAATGCTGCTTATACATTGATGCATCAGTATTATAGAGCAACTAATTGTGTCAAAATCCTCTCCCAGCATATTAAAAACACTGCTGGGAATAATAATTGGTGCCTGTTGCACAAATAAAGTTCAATTACTTATTTAAGAAAAGTCTAAATCTACACTGATAACACTTTATTTTATGTGTCCAGTATTTTCCAACTAGTTTTCTGGAAACTGTCCTCATAATTTCCAAAAAATGAGCTGGTATTAAATGTTCATGACAAGGATATTTCCTCGAAACACTTACGCCGTTTGGTTCGAATTATAAGAAAAATGGAGAAAAGTGTTGCCACAGTTATTGAGTACATGTTCGTTATATCAGAGTTGTTAAGAAAAAATGATGTGGTAGGTAAGTGGAGAGTAGCTCATAAACACACGTCAGTGTCCATCAGAGTTTCAGAGTAAGACAAACAAAAGGTTTTAATTTGATAGAAAATACCAAACTGAGAAATATGTGAGTGTAACTGCCGAGTCTGTGAAATTTAGGGTTATGCAGCATAAACATCAATTACCAAGCCAATCAAAGACGATTAAGTCTTTCTGGGACAATCTGATGGATATTTAGTTTATAAATTATTTTTGATTCTTTCTAAATAATTTCTAGTTTTTAAGTTTTTTCTTAAAAACTTGAATAAACAAATATAACATACTTAATAAATGTAGCAAGTAACATTTTCTCCTTAATAATGAGAACCAAATTGCATCGGTCCGTCTTGAAAATGTCCTTGTAATTTACAGCTTAATACTGTTATTTTAAGGCAATTATGAGGACAGCTTCCAGGTAATTAACTGGTAAATGCAGCATCTACTCCTTTTACATCACTGAAAAAAACTGAATCTATATTTTTCATTTCAAAAATTTGTTCCTAGTAGATAAAAGATCACTCATACTTCACTGAGAAGTGTTTGTGCACTGGAGGTTTCAAGTTTCCACATCACACTTGCATAAGTTGCTTATTTACCAAACTAGTTGTGATGACACTAAATCATGTTTGTATAATCACATCTTAAAATCAGGTTCAAGGTGAGCAGCGAGAAACTTTCCCCCCTCAGCAGATGAATGTTTAAAAACAGCCCTCACCCCTGCTCTGGCCGTCACAGTCCGGGCCAACAAAGACCTGCATGCATACGAAGGTCAACAGCGCCCTCTGCAGTTTGGGACTAGGTGTGTAGAGCAGCGGGCCGAAGGAGGTGGGGTCCCACACATGTAGCTGGTAGGAATGAGCCGTCAGGACATCGCACACACCCAGAAAAGCCTAAAGCAGAAAAATGAGAAGAAGTTATGAAGGCCACAAGAATGGTGCCATCACTGCCAAAAGCAACACCTGCTGCTGACCTGCTGCCGCACACCGTGGTCAGAGTGGGAGAGACAGCGGTGACTCCTCTCACAGAACAGACGCAGCTGCAGCCTCTGGGCCACAGCCTTCTCCTGCAGTACAAACACACACAGGGCTTCAGTCAGAGGCGAGTGACGAGTGACAAATAGTTCAGCATTTCAAAAAGGGAACAGGGAAGCTAAAACTGCAGACTCAGTCACACTTAAAAACTCTGTCTGTGGCGCGCTTTGCATACCCAAACACACTGTATGCTCTTCATTAGTCACCCTCACCCACCCTCACCCTTACCCCCACCCCACCCTACCCCACCCCACCCTCCCTGCTTTTGTGTCCTCTGTGCCGTCTGTCTTCTTGTTTACTTAACATTTGTCCCATCCATTGCCTGGACGCTGAAGCTCAAAAATGTCACCTGCTGTACATGAGACTTTAAAGTTGGCCTACTAATGCAGCCACTTTACAGCTGAGACTACTTATCAGTTTATATTCACCATTATTGATAACACAATAAAATCATTAAAAACATACTTTTTTTTAAGACAATACTTTTGAGTTCTTTCCATCTTCTCCTCCATGTTTGTTAAAATAACAGTTTTACCCTCTCATTTGATGATTGTGTCACTTAACGATAAACTGTTTTGCAATCAAAAACCACAAAGCGGGTTATGTTTGTTTTCCTTTTTATGTGCTGTGCTCAGAGCTCTTGCAGAAGATCTCAATGAGGTTACCTATATTGATTATTTTAGGAATATATTGTATATAATGGTTTTCCATTAATGTGAAGGAATTTTATATTTTTATGATCCAAATTTATGCTGGAGTTAAGAAGCAGATGTAACTCACTCTGGAAGTGAGAGCTTCGCCGCTCGTGTTGAGAGACCAGAGTGTGAAGTAACAGAGACACTGCAGAACTTCCAGCAGCACCTTCAGACAAAAGGGAGGAGAACAGACGGAGCGACACTGAGGACAGTTATAACAGAAATACAGTGGACAAACAAGTTCAAAACACTTGTACGGTGTTAAGTTGAATTATCAGTGGCTACATGAGGTTGTTCAGAGGACAGTGATGTACCTCAGGTGGTGCTCCTCCCTGGCTGCTCTCCGCTGACAGGAGAGGAGAGAGCAGCTCAAACAGACTCCACTGAGAGAGGTTGTGACAGCTACAACGACACGGAGAGAAGCAGCCGATATGAACGGCACATAAACACACATCACTGGCAGAATGGTGTAAGCTCACACTTCATCGTGGATAAATCTCAATTCTTACTTGTGGAAAGCTCTGAGCTTCTTCAGCACCAGTAAAATTTCTTTAGTTTTCTCCTCATCAGCAGAGAAACAGTCACCCTGCAACAGACAAACAGGAACAGGCTCCTTATTCTTTGCCTACATGGGTGCTGCCTGTACACCAGTGTAAGGTGCTGCCTGTGCACCAGTGTAAGGTGTTGCCTGTACACCAGTGTAAGGTGTTGCCTGTACACCAGTGTAAGCAGTTACACCAGAGTGATTTTCCTCTTCATATTGTTTCATTTGAAGGATTCGGGGCCTGGAGGTGAAAGCCTCCAGTGTTTTACAAGAGAGAAGAAGCAAAAAGTTGATAAAAATCAGGAAAATGTTCATTATTTTTTGTAGCAGAACTATCGAATGACCCATCAAACCTTTCCAGAGGAGTCCTGATTTCTGTCATTATTCCTGTCATAATTCCTGTCATGCCATTAGGCTCATTTGTAAATACAGAACATATTTATATATATAAATTCACTCCTCGAAAGCACACATATGTTCTGTACACACACATACTTCTGGCCACACAGTGAAACGGTGCACCTCACCTTCAGTGAGTCCTCCAGCAGGACTGACAGTTGGTCCACCCAGGTCTGGACCAGAGAGTCTCTGGCAGCCCGGGCCATAGAGCACCAGGTCGTCTCCTCCGCACACAGACTGAGGTACGAGCGGGCCGCTGCCTCCAGAACAGCGGGGCCTGAGTGGAGGTCCAAAACAGCTCCCATCCCTGCCACCAGGCTGGACACTGCCTGAGGGAGAGGACGGGAACAGCACCAGCTCATTTTAAAATTTGCTGACTGTGACATTTCGTGACAGCTGATAATAAGTCGGGCAAATGTCCTGACAGTGCCGGAAAAAGTAGTTGATTATCTGATGACTTAATCAACATAAAACCAATTAATGGTGATTTTAATCAATGATTGATCATATCAAGTAATCTATCTAAAAATACAAAACATGCTCAGTACAGCCACACAGATGTGAGAAGCTCAAGGCACCACATTTGGTCATAGTGTTTTGACATTTTATAGACGACATGATGAATAATCTAATGAAAAAAAATAATTAGTAGATAAATCGATAATCAAACAAGAAAAATAATTGCCCTGGTTACAGAGGCTTAGATACTTTATTTGTCCAACGTTGTGATTTCAGCTAAAATTAGGGTAATTTCACCATTAAAATTTTGCCCATAAATACATAAATACCATTGCAGCCTTGAGCCATGAGAAATGTTCTCAGCATTACCTCTATTACCTCAGTTTTCATAAACATCTGTAATCACCCATTCAATCAATAACAGTGTTTCAGTAATGTATTTTAAATTTCAAGATCACACTGAAGTTTGATTTCATGGCTCCAATGCTTTGGCCTAAACTCTACAGAGTTAATAGTGATGTTAAAGATGAGGGAAGTGTGTCACCCCATTCATTTCTCATTTTTCATTTCTCATGTTATTGTTTGTAAGTTGAAAGGCTGGGAACCAACCTGTGAGTTTTCAGCCTCAGGACACTCGGGGAGGAAGTACTGAGGAATCCTCATCAGGGAAGCAACAATGTCCCGGCTACTGGAAAACTGCATCAACACCAACAAAGAAGAGAAACGATAGGGAGTGTAATGCTCAGCGTCTGATTGTTAGGTACAGAAAGTTCTCCAAACAAAATTAAATATAATAACTAAACTGTGTGGGATAAATACCTTGGACAGTAACTTTGGAAGCACCACGAGGAGATGTTCAGTCAGCTTCGCACAGTCATCACTCTGAATTTTCTTTTCTCTGGCGCTCATTGCCTGGGATGTTAAAATACGAGTATACAAGTATATAATCAAGTAAAATATAATTCAAAACTTGCATGATCCAATATTCATATTAAAATATATTAAAAGTGATGCCATATTTATCTGTAACTTTGTTTTCAAATTTGGAACATTTTCCTCCTCTGACCTTCTTTGCTCCACTCCTCCCGGGCAGGGCTGGTCCCTCTGAGGCCTGACGCACCGACGCCACCAGGACCTCTACAAGCACTGCTTGTTCTGCCAGTGTAAGACCTACAAATATACACACACACACACACACACACAGTGATGACTGCTGTAGACTTTATAGATGTGTTGTGCAAAATCTGGTTTATTCTTCTGAAAAGGTTTTTAGGAGCTTTTACTTATTAGGTATTTAGATAAAGATATTTACACCCTGTGTGGCTGCCCTTACTAATCAGTATATACTGTAGGGTGTTGGGCGATGAAGCTATGGCCACCAACACACACATTTTCTTACCTGGACCGTGTGAGGAAGGGTCCTGCAGCAGTATGGATGTGAGCGCGGCCCAGTCCTTCAGCAGAGCTCCGGCACAGTCCCACAGACCGTCCACCAGGTACACCACATGTTTGTGCAGCTGCAGGCGCACACAGACATGTTAGTTCATCCACGTCAGGGAAGAGAAACACATACAGCATCATGATATGAACACATACAAAGGTCCTCTATGACACAAGGTGTCAGGTTGAATTGGCAGAGCCAACATATTTCACCTCAGACTGCTGGTAGAACTGCAACAGAGCCTTCAGTCTGGCATATGTTTGCTGTTTATGTGCCTCCTCCTCATTTAGTTCATCCTGAGTATCAGCTGCAGGAGCTACAGTGTTGAGAATCCTGAGAGAGACCAACAATATCCAGGTAAACACTAACAAACACTTGCTGTTTGTTTTTTTGTTTTTTTTAAGTGATGCAGGTCGACATACCTTGAGAAGAGCAGCTCCCCTGCGGTGGCTGCGAGAGGTCGCTGTGAAGAGTAAACAAACTGGAGGAGCTGCTTGTAGTCCTCTGGACTGAGCACATCATCAGATGTTCTGCAAATCATTAGAAGTTATGCAAACAGTAGGAAAACATGAAGGATAGCTAGAAGAGGATAAGAACAACAAACATGATGGTGACTAACTTGGAGATGAGAACCAGTAGTTTCATGGTCTGCACTGCCACTTCATTGTCCTTATCCAGCGTCATGGAGATCATCCGCTCCTGGAACACCAACAGTAAACATCATGCATGAACACAAAGAACCATAATCCATGATGCAGCTTTAAGCAGGTTTGGTTACCTTGAAACGGCTGGTGAACAGGTCTAGTTTGGGGAGAAGCAGAGGATCTCCATACAAACCCTGCAAACCTAACACACACTTGAGACGCACATCTGGTATCTGAAAGATGATGCACATCAGCACATTGGTTTCACATACACTAAAGAGCTTGTTTAAAATTTTCATAAAACATTTCTAGCTGTGATCTCCAGGTTCAGTGCAAAGGATGGCGCTTTTTTGTGCTACATCAGATTATGTTTGTGTTTCGTCTTTGCTGTCACTGACTTTGTCGTTCATCATCCAGCCCATGTATTTGAGGTAGCTGTCATTGAGAAAAGCAGAACTGTAGAGCTTCATCCACAGACCCAACTCCTCCACACAGATAGAACGGATTTCTGGAAGAACATCACTGCACAGAAACACAGAAACACACACACACACACACGTTAGCTCCAAACTGAATTGAATGATACTGCAATGCACATAGACTGTCAGAGAAACTGTGAAGTTATTTTACCGATATCTCTTGAGAAAAACTCCTTTGAAGATGATATCCATCATGCTCTCTATCTCCACCCTCTTCTCCTGCAGCTGGAGGAGCATGAGGAAAGGCCCCACAGAGAGTAAGATGCGACGTATTCACAGAGAGCAAAGATCAAATCTTTTCAGTTCCCCTCTACACGGTTAGGTACAAAGAGATGTGTCTTACCTCTGTGATCTTCTTCTGTACTCTCTCCAGCTGCGGTGTGCTTTTCTGCCTCATGGTCTTTGTCTTCTGCACCTTGTACAGTTTTTGACTGTTTTCAATCCCGACACTCAGACTCAGAGCCACGCCCACCAGAGAGCTCAGCAGCTTCATCGCTTATAGAGATGTCACACACATCAAAAACCCAGAGTACATATTAGTTTATTTAATACATTTACGAGTCTGTGTGTACGTGCGCGTTTGTCTTTTCTGTTCCTTACCTGCGAGCGTGCAGGTGTGTCGGAAGGCTCGTACGTAAGAATCGGACAGCTCTGTGAGCAGTGAGATCAGTGTGTTCATCAGGTAACCGTCAAAGATGATGCTGCGCTGACACTGAGCCACCAGCACCGACACGAACTCGCAGAACTCAGAGTGGAACCAGCGACCGTACGGGCCAGACTGTGTGAGAGGATACTCCACACTTTCCTACAGTGGAGGAGGAGGAGGGGCAAGCCAGTCACTTAAAAGTCTCAATAACTTTGAATCTTTACTTTCCTAATATGAAAGAGTATGTTGGGGTGGAGATCACACAACGAAGGATTATCAACCAGGAGAACACAGGAGTTGTATTGACAGGAAGAGCAGAAAGGTGTGCTGTGTGAGGCAACCTTCATAATTTATATGTTCCTGCAGTAAATACCAATCTTGGTAAGACAGCTTTCAGATATCACGCCCAAACTTGTCTGAAATAATTTACAAAGCAGACTGAAACTTAACGCGCTGAAACTGATATGTCGATTCAAAAATTTGTTGAAAAGTTTCATTGACTTGGGGTGTAAATGCTTTGCATAATCTTTTTTTTAACTACTATTACAGAATGCACTTATGAGCGTATAATGTGTCATCCTATTGTCTACCTGCTTGCGTATTTTTAAATATCTGATCGTTGTTTATATAAATTACATATCTGAATGTATATTTAAAATCACTGAAATTTTGTATCTCTGCTATTAAGATTTCTTTTTGTTACTTTTATTTTATTTTCTGTACTCAGGTCTCACTTGTAAATGAGATCTTAATCTCAATGTGACTTCCTGATTAAAAAAAGTATAAATAAAGTTTGTTGCTAGGCTGTAAACAATGAAGAAACAAACATAAGAAAGAAACGGGGAAAAAAGACAGTAGAATACAATAGTATTATGTAGTATAACTCATGGGAAGATTAATCAAACCATGCGGAGCTGCCTAATCACTCAGACCGTGAACAGCCTCCAGGTGTAAATGAGAGAGAACAGACAGACATGTAACTGCAACCGTGTGTTCCTGCAAAACAGGATTCATGCTCAGTGAATCTAACTCTGAATGAATAAAAGTAAAAGTAATGGTACACTGAGTCGAAGAGCTGACAACAAAACCACTCCCAGCATTCTTCTTATATTTACCTTCTGCCAATTTACTGTCACTAGATTCTAAGCCTTAAAACGTACACACTGTATAACAAGCTCACAAATCCCTACACTGGAAACGAAAAAAACTGAATACACGTTACAATCCAAAACGTTTCCATTCTACTCACTCACTCATCGTGTGGGGAATAAGTGACGAGGAAGTGATTTTAGACACAATCATGATTCAATACAACTTATATGTTTATCACTAACTGAAGAAATGTTTGGACAAAAACCCCAGGAGGAGGACGATAGATACATCAAATACATCAAACGTGTGCTACTGACCGTGTCCATGGGCCATGTGACTGTGAGGATCCATGGAAAGGCCAGAAACTTCTTGTACTGCAGACTGGCGACCTGAAACACACACAAACACACAGGTTCAGTTCAAAGTGTCAAAACTGATGCAACAGTGAGAGACGGAGAGATGGAAGATTGAAGACCTCCCACCTCGTCCAGCTCCTCGACCATCTTACTCATCACATCACTGTCCTCTTTGCTCTGACACATCTCTGCTGTGACCACGCCTGGGAGAGAGAAGGAAAACACAGATATGATTCTCTCTACTCTGCATGTGTGTGTGTTGGGCAGGTGTTTGCAGATGTGCGTGTGTGTTGACCGCTTGCCTTTGCACCCAGAGCACTGGATGAAGAAGCTGATGAGATCAAGGAGAGAGGAGTCTCTGTCCGTCACATACGCCTCAACCCAGTCATCTATCACCGCCTGCTCCAACATCACAGAAGAGTCAGACCGAGTTTGTGTTAATGTTCTGAAAATATACCAGAGAATATCAGCTTATCCTGGCTGGTATCTTCAGGTGTTTTTATGTTGAGGAAGTGGGCTCATTCTTGTTTTATTTGAATATCCTGAGTGCATATTAATGTGCACATAAACCTACCAACAGAATGATTAGCCGCTAACACTGGTTAGCTGATCTGAGAGGCTTTGAGGTTTTAGTTTGGAATAACAAAAAGGTTAGAAAAATCCAGAGCAGTAATCTTAGATGTTTTATGAAAGCAGGTTTCCATTACAGAGTCTTATTATCTTACCTGCATGGCACTCCTGCCCATGGTGATCACCTCAAACAGGGTGACGGCCTCCACATGCCTCCTTTTGCTGTGGCTGCCTCCTGCTCTGTTAACACTGCTGCGGCTGGCTCTGGCACTTTTGCGTTTGACATTCTCTGAGCCCTTATGTGCTCTTTTCCTTCTTCTCTGTTCGTTTCGAAAATGGAACAATTCAGAAAGAGAATAACGATGCGTGTGATGACTCATATATGAATGTGTGCTGCAACCCAAAGTGGCAGAATACACATTTATGAATGAGACTCCTCAGCACTGAAGTGCTTTATTGATCAAGTTGCTAATTCAAGAGTCAGTCAGGCACTTCACCCCTCCACCTGGGCGCGAACAAGCCACATCAAACTTTAGCAGCACTTTGGTGAAATAGCTGCCTCACTTCATTTATTATTAAAGATTAAGTGGCCACTTAAGATCCATCGCTGACAAAAACATCAATAATGAGGAATATTAGAATATTTAGGGCTTCAGCTAACAATTACATTATCCGTCATTATCAGTTAAGCTGCTGATTATTTTTCTACAACCCTGTTTCCAAAAAGGTTGGGACAAACAATGTGAGTTGCAAAACATTGAAAGATATTTCATTGAAAATAGCTCAAAGACAACATCAAATGTTGAAACTTTTTTGAAGATATGTCCATTTTGAATTTGATGCCAGCAACACGTTTCAAAAGAAGTTGGGACAGGGTCATGTTAACCACTCTGTTTCATCACCCCTTCTTTTAACAACGCTCTGTAAATGTTTTCCCAGTCTTTCTTGATGTACTTTTTCAGTTGCTCTACAGTTTGGGGTCTCCTTTGTCATATTTTATGTTTTATAATAAGCCAAACATTTTTCAATGAGTCACAAGGCAGGACTGCAGGCGGGCCAGTTTAGCAACCCGACTCTTGCACTAGGAGCCATGCGGTTGTAACACTGCAGGATGTGGTTTGGCATCGTCTTGCTGAAATAAGAAAGGCCTTCCGTGAAAGAGACGTCGTCTACTTGGCAGCATATTCCGCGCCAAAACCTGTATATGCCGTTCAGCATTAATGGTGTTTTCACAAATGTGCAGGTTACTCGCGCCATTTGCACTAATACACCTCCATACCATCACGGAGGCTGGCTTATGAACTGTGCGCTGACAACAAGCCGGATAGTACCTCTCCCCTTTTAACCCGGAAGACGCGGCGTCCATGATTTCAGAAAAGAAATTCAAATTTTGACTCGTCAGTTTTCCCCACTTCGCCCCCCATCTTGAATGAGCTCGTTTCTGGATGTGGTTCATATACGGTTTCCTCTTTGCATGGTAGAGTTTCAACTCACAATTGTGGATTCAGCGATGAACTGTGTTCACAGACAGCGGTTTTTGGAAGTGGTTTCCTGAGCCCTTGCAGTGTTGTTCACTGGAGACTCGTTTTTAATGCAGTGCCGTCTGAGGGCCCGAAGACCACGGCCATCCAAGATTGGTTTGATAAATGTTTTAATGATATTAGGTACTGTAGACAATGAAATACCCAAATTCTTTGCAATTTTACGTTGAGAAACATTATTCTTAAATTGTTGCACTACTTGCCAGAGCAGTCTTTCACAGAGTGGTGAACCCCTCCCCGTCATTACCTCAGAAAGACTGAGTCTCTCTGGGACGCTCTTTTTATACCCAATCATGTTACTCACCTGTTGCCAGTTAACCTAATTAACTGTGAGATGTTCCACCAGGTGTTTTCTTTTAGCATTTCACAACTTTTCCAGTCTTTTGTTGTACTGTCCCAACTTTTTTGAAATATATATAAATATTATATATATTCATATAATTGTCAAAAACAATAACATTTCTCAGTTTCAACATTTGATATCTTTGTGTTATTATCAATTAAACATGGGATTTAAATGTTTTGCAAATCATCACATTCTGTTTCTATTTACGTTTTACACAACGTCACAACGTTTTTTGGATGCAGGGTTGTAGATAATCAACTAATCATCAGAATCATTAGTCAGAAAATAGTGAAAATGCCAATGAGAAATTCCTTGTTTTATCTGAGTAACATAAATAAATTCAGTTTATTCTCATGTATGACAAAGAAAAACAGCAAATCCTCACATTTAGGAAGCTGAAATCAAATAATGTTTGAAAGTCTGTTTAATTATGTTTAAATGATTATCAAAATAGTTACAGATCAATCCTCTCTGAAGCAGCTAATTAACTGACAAATCATTTCAGCTCTAAAATATCCAGACAACTTGTTTTTCCCACTCTGACTTGTCAAAATATCTTCCATGAAAAGGGCCTAGTTTGATCTACAGCTACAAACAGTATCAACATAATGGCGTCATATGGTTCTGCATTATACTTCCCCTCCCTCATGATACTGCTCTTCAACTACTACTCTCCTTGTCACACTAGAGCAAGAATCAACTAGAAACGGTTTCACAGTTAGACAAAAAAACCTACCACACTTTTTCGTCTATTCTCATTCCCCGACTCATCCTCTGAATGATTGACAGCACCAGAGGAGTTTGCCTCATCATGGGAGCTCTTACTGGGAAACAAAAACATGAAATTAGACTGAATGAATAAAAAATATAGATTACTATTCAAGGACTTTCTATCAATTAACAAGATAAATTGTCTGTATTTTGGTAGTAGATGCTTACTTCTGCTCTGAGGGCCTGGATGCAGCTGTGGCTGAGGGCTCTGGTATCATCTCACTCCTCAGATTTTTACACAGGGCTCAGGTGTGTGTCTCTGCATCTGGAAATACAGCACGATCAGTGTTTGGTCTGAGAGTTAGGGTAAAAAGAAAAAAAGGATTTCTGATCAACATTAATCCTGCATCTCCATAGAGAGAGGAGGTTGCTATGATCATGAATATCTGGGCAATTATGACCACATGTCCAGTCTCAGGGGTGGGTTGCTCAATCTGTAAAGCATTGATACTGTCGCTATGAAGGCTTGTTTTGAGTATCAATACAATGTCAATAAGATCAATACCAATAACATGAACTCTTCTTAACGCTGTTGTGTGCCTGTTTAGTTGACAGAATTCACATAATGAACGTTTGTTATTTACATTGTTATTTGTTATTATAGTCATATGTAAAAAGGAAATAGTAAAAACAAATGGTTGGCAAATTAATTTATGTTAGCCTGTTCATAATGCACTCACTTAGGACTGCCTTTATTTTCGCAATTGATTAATGTGACAATTATTTTTTTGATTACTCAATTAATCATTTTGTCTATTATATGACAGTAAACAGTGACAACATTCCTGTTATATAATTTCCAAGTGTCTCATTTTGTCCAAAATCCAAATACATTCAGTTTACCATCATGTGTGACAAATTAAAGCAGCAAGTCTTCACATTTGAGAAGCTAGAAACAGCCAATATTTGACATTTTAGCTTTAAAAACGACTAAAACAATCACTTGTCCATCAAAACATCTCGGTTAATCGGTTCATCGTTGCATTCACCTCATAAATCATGGAATATTTCTTTATTACATGAGCTCTTTTTAACAGTTTTAACAGTGATTGTGGCCCTAGGCTCAAAATCAAATGGTGTGGTATAACCCGGCTCTACTCTCCAGTGGGAGAGGGGGGTCACAGGGTGGTTGCATGCCCCTTCCACTGGGAGGAGCTGGTCTGGCTTTAAAGGGTTGCTCAAGGACACTTAGACGGAGCAGGTTTTGGTTCCCATGGGAGTTGCATCTCTGTTCAGCAATTTATTTAGCTACCGCATATTTTTACACAAACTGAAGTATCAGTCATCATTTCCTGAAGTAGTCCTGAGGTGAGTACAATGTCTAACAAAGATTAAAGCTGACCGGCCGGTAAACAGACATCTCAACCGCTCCCAAACTTTTCACACTTACCCTCTTTACATTTCTTCATTCTTCCGTCACGTTCACTGATGTGTGATTTTAAATCCGAAAGCTGTCAGACTAATAAAACCCAAACACCTCAACGAATTTATCCTCCTTGTTTTCCCCAGCTCTCACAGTCAAGTTGACGGACAGCCTAACCCCTCCCGATTGGCTGGTATGCCGAAGCGGACTTATGTGATTGGGTGTCCTGAACCGTCGCTCATAATTAAGTCCCTCCCCCCGCCGACTGTCACAGACAGTCGCCGTCCGGTTTGGTTTTGTGCATACCCCAGCAGCACTGTAAACATCTGTAGGAAACTTCACACGCATGACACATTAGCTTCAGTAGGTTTACGTGAATCATAGGCTCATAATGCTTTTATACGGCCTCAGTAAACTCTAATCCAGCTCACCATGTTGTAGCCTGTCCCTCCTGCGTTTACTCTAGTGCAGAATATCCCACAGACCTGACTCTGAATGTGCCTCTTTCGTGTTTTAATTAACCAGGAGTTGTTAATTCAGAAGGGAGCTGTCATGGTATTTCCTGATTTAACATGTTGCAGGAACTGAACAGCAGGGGGAGCCATTTACATATCAAAGGCTCACATTTTTTTCTAGTCTGCCTAAAAACAATAGTCAGGCGCCCTTATAATCACTTCAACAAGGGTTCGCTTGTTGTGATCATTCCTCCTCATAAGATTCCTTCTTAATGCACCTTCATTGTAAGTGATGTAAGACAAAATCCACAGCTCTCTTTCTGCGAAATAATACGTTTCAAATTTTATCTCAAGTTAATATGTTATTTATTATTTATACTAAGTTAATATGAGGCTTTTGTTATAATCAGTGATCTATCCCTTCATCTCAGCTCAACAACACAGTTCACAAGGACACAAAGAGGGATTTTTTTTTAACTAAAAACACTGTGGACCATGCCCACTTGGTTGGTTGAAGGGATTGTGTAATGGTCACTACAACCAGTAAAAAGGATTACAGCAAGCCAAACCTGTTCCAATGAATACATGGGCACGTGACTACTGTTTTTAAGACAGACTTGAAAAATGGTGACACTATCCTGCAAGTTTACAGCAGTGATTTTGTTCTCTCCTTGCTTTACAATTTCCTACTTATACTTACATACTTTTACTTTGCTGCTATCTGCTGTGGCAGCAGCATCACATCAAAGCCAGTGACACCAACAAACTGAACAAACTGACCAGGTAGGCTGGGGGACTTCTCTGGAGCCACTCGAGTTGGTTGTCGGGATATCAGATTAATCTGATCTTTCAAGGTTCGTGCGGCTCTACAAGATGGTGCCTCAAGATTAGCTAATTATGCAGGTACCTCAATTACTTTCATAGTACAGATCTGCACTTCATTAAATCACCACAAACTGCCACAAAGATATTTACTTGGCCTCGTTGTGGATCCATGACTGCTGAGTTAGAGCAGCACATATTATTATGTCCTGGATTTAAATTTAGATTTGTCATCTAAACATTCAATCTGTGAACTGCACTCTAGCATCAAGATTAGTGATGCTGTTTATGCCAAATTCATTCCCCACCTATGCCATGTAAATCCAAACAAAAATCTAAAATTTTTTGCCTCTTTTTATGTGGCAGTAGAGGAAATTAGTCATTGTCAGAATTTGTTGTGTTGTGGTTTCAGAGTGATGGAGACAGAGAACAATTCGATTCAAAATCTGATGCAGATGATTTATTTTCCTGTGCAACTTTCATGTTTCCCCTGAAATGATGTACAAATGGCTTGATACAATAAATAGTGAATGTAGCTGCTGTGAATGAGGAGAAAAATTCCCCGGGGGAGTATGTCCCCTGAATATAGACTGTGCCCTCCGCCCCTGGGCAAATGCTTTGAGCAGCGAGTCCCCGGTTCATCTTTCGGCCAGCCAGACTCTTGGCTGCATGTCATTCCCCTACTCTCTACTCCTGCATTCCCTGTCTCTCCACAATGTCATGTCAAATAAAGGCATAGTTGTGCACCTACACACACACCTATGTACAGCCGCAACAATTAGTCGATTAATTAACTAGAAGATCAAAAGAAAATTAATTAGCTGCTTTTCTTTGTCACATCTGATGGGATATTTTTGGGTTTTGCATGGTTGATTGAATAAAATAAGAAATCTGAATACAAAATCTGGGAAACTATAGCAGGCACATTTTATGCAGAATGATTCATTGATTGATCAGTAATGAAAATAATCTTTAGTTGCAGCCATACACCTGTGCTTTACTTGCCATGACAGGTGAAAATGTCTGCCTTAAAGATCTGTTCTTCGAGATGACCACGTCTACCTGGTGTAACCAAATTGTCTGAAGTGAGGACGTACACATTACCATGACAGGCGTAGACAAAACACACCTCCTATTGCATTCAATTTTATTATTTCATGTAAGGTTAAAAAAAATTATAACAGTAGTGCAAGGAGGGATTCAGCAAACTTACATTCATTTCTAAACAACTGACTCACTGTAGGGGTTAATATTGGCCAGATTGAGGAGGGCAATATAAAAACCTAGATGATTTGTAAATGAAGAAGGCTTTCCAATCCCACCACCAATCAGTTGAATTGACTTGTGTAGCACCTTTTCACAGTCATAACAACATCAGTTCATTCAGAAGCAGGAGACTCCTGAACAAACCCGGTGCATCATAACGTCAGGGTTCCTAGAAACAGAGGAGTTCGTCAGGGTGAGTCAGGACAGGAACTGGGACATGAAGGTCACAGCCTGGTGAAGGTCCTCCGTCAGCTCCTCGGGTAGAGACAGCACCACCGATGTCAAGCTTTGAGTTATTTCTAATATCCTACAAGCAGAATAATACACGGCTGTTATCAGGTTGCTGCATTAATCATCATCTCCTCCATCTCCTCCTGAACGTTTGCATATTAACTCACCAGTTGATGTAGTGGGCCGCCAGCTGAGGTTCATGCCTGGAGCCTTCGTCTATCACTAGAGACTGTTTCATCTGTTTGAAGTTGGCCTCAATATCTTTCTTTATTTCAGAGAAGACCTGAATTCCTCTGAAAGAGCTGATAACTTGCTGCAAAAAAGAGATGGTAAAAAAATCAGTTGAAAGGAGAACATTTTTTAAAAAACAGGGCATTATTGAAAAGAGGAAAATTGTGATTTATTCTCCTCACATATATAACTGAGAGCTGGTGGGCGATGTATTTATGACTTCCAAGGTGTCTGATGTCTTCCTCTAGCTGTTGACTCAGCACCAAGAGCTGGTTCAGTTTGGCAATGTGGAAGAAGTATTCTGCAACAGAAACAGGAGTTGCACTCTTTTGGGAACACAGGAATGTGTTTTCATCATGTAACTAACCTGCAAGGAGGGAGTGGTCTTAACTATGTTATTTTGGTAACTGCAGGGCATCCACATGTAACATGATAAGCACGAAAAGATTGTACATTATTACTGTGCAATATCCAGAGGTTGTGCAGGATGTCCAGGCTTTCATTACCAGCAAATGCATTTCTTCAATTAGAAACACAATTTTGCTAGCAGTTTCAAAGGCTTTCATAAACTTATGCATGTGATACCCTGTGATTAAAAATTAAAACAGACTGAAAAATGTATCTTCCTCCTGGCGCTGCAGGATGGGGATATATTTCTTCTCTCACCATCCATCGGCGGCCTCTCCAACATTTCCACGGGGCTGCCTTGAATTAGGAACACCTCTACACGAGGAAACATTGCTGACAGACCCACTATGTCCAGGTAGTCCTGAGGAAACACAAAAACCAATTGATTTCTGGTACAATTATCTAAAATTCAAGTTGATAATGCTTTATTTTACCTGTCTATTATTTCCCAATAATTAAGGAAATAATTAAGGACATAATTTAATAGGGTTCTGTTTAGTGTCTGATGTGATACCTCCAGCTGTGGCATAGGCTTTGGTAGATGTTCAAGGCACTGCAGCATCTGGTCAAGAATCTCTGATCCTTTAAGAATAAAGCACAGAAATGTCAAACATACAGGAGCTACTCAAGTCAAATGAAACTCTGTGATTCTTTGCCACTTTCACCTTGAGCCTGGAAAGTGTCTGACTCCTCTGGGCTGCAGCCTTGTCCTAACTGCTCCTGGAACTGTGACATAGAAAGTATGAGTCACAGGAAAAAAAGGAGGCACGTCTATACAGAGCGATGCGAAATGCTTAAGAACACCGAGACAGACACAGTGGACATGAAATCAGCTTATACAGTATGTCTTGGGATTTTGAGGCAAATCGCATTTAAGCTGGCAAAGACCTTCTTGAGTCTAATGCTGCCTTTGAGTGCTATTGGGCGAGCATACAAAGACATTTGAAAGAGGTCAATAGTACAGGGGGGAAAAAAGTGGAAATGACTTATGGTTGGGTTTTGATTCAAGCAGCTTGATGTGAATTATGGTGTAGCAAATTGAAAAACCTTAGATGAAAAATAAACTGACCCTGAGACTGGGCCCCCCTTTAACAGCTCATAAACATACTTAACAATGTTTTATTAACTTTATACCTACAGTATATGCATATGATTTTTACTGTTCCAGAAGTCAGCTACAGAAAATGATGCAATACTTCTGTTTGGGTAGAAACATCAGCTTAAAACATGGTTAAATGGAGAAGAAGTTAATATGCTGTATCTCTGTGATTTGTTTTGACAGTACTTTGTTTGCAGCATTACCCCTCCCATATCTTAAATAAGTGTATTTAGGACTATTACTGGACTTCTGCAAAAGTTTGTTCATAATTCATAAGACAACTCACAGGGAGTTAGACCTTGCTGGATAATGTACATTTATTTTAATGACATTTATTTGTCAGTGAATAACTTATCTAGTATCAGTGAATAACAACCTCATCATATCATTATTCATTGTTATTTTCACACACACAACAGTGAGGTCTGTGGGACCCTGGACAATGAGTAATTACAGCTGATGCCAACATAAACACAAGGGTTGAAGGAGATGGTAAATGCCTCCTGAGTGTAGTTGTATGGACATTAATTTGTACATCAGCTCAATGTCAGTGTCAGTTTCATAGAACATGATCTATGGCTAACATTAGCTGATATAATTAAGACACTGCACACCCTGCTAACTGCCTCTTGTTTAATGGCTGTGTATAGTGCATTAGATGCCTGTTTATTTGCTTTGGTTTCGCTGATGGAGATGCACTTGTGGTTAACTAGTTTTTGATGGAACACGTGACTTTTACTTACATTTTTTCCTGACAGTCAGATATAAATTGATGCAAACTGAGGAGAAAGTGGTGGGGATGAATGTGGGCTTTGTCAGCTAAGGTGAAGGGGATGCATTTGGTGCTCAGGTTACTCTACCTGCTGCATCTGTGCCCTGATGAGGAGGTCCAGTTGCCCACAGAGACACAGCATCTCCAGGCCCACCTGCTCTGGACCCAGCTGAACAGGCATCAGAGATCTCTTCACCTGTAGCTCCACTAACCACAAAGCAAATCCACATCAGTAGGCCTGTCTGACAAACCCCTCCTTTCCCTTCACCCCTTAATAAACACAAAGCGCATCCTGTGAAACAATGTGCATATGTCATGGCTCCTGCAGGTCCAAGGAAGGATGGTTGATGGACACTGAAGGGGAGTGGTCAATGTGTTGAAATGAGACGGAGCCCGTTTCCGCAGGACGCACTCCTCCGAGTGGTAATTTAATCTGAACACTTGAAACGTTTCCACAAACAGCGAGATAAAAACGAGCGGGTGATGCAGGGACTTACCTTTGAACGCTTCATGGTAATCGCACGGCTGACAGAGCGGCTCTGATGTGCTTACTGCCATATCTGACTGGAGCCGGCTGTGATTATCACACCTATTCACCTAAATCTGTCCCGCTGATAAAAGCCATATGAAGCTCGTGAAAGCGCGGGCAATAGCCTGGTCGAGGCTATAGAGAAAAAAATAGATAAGAGTCTATTTATTTTATTTCATTTGGTCGGAATTATCTATCGCAAAGGGTGCGTTCGAGTGTCAAACGTTCAGGCAGGGTGAATAAACGCCGACACAATCTCTCCTCATCCGTAATTCGTCGTTTCCTCGCAGGTGACGATGCTCACACACAGCGGCAAGGTGATGAATACATCCATTACCCCCAGGTAGATCCATGAAGCTGATGAAACAAGAGTAAAAAAAAAAACAAACACCCAAAACAATGCCCACGCCCTTTGCAACAACAGTCGTGCAGTAACCGTCTGTGATTTGCAGTTTTGAACGCCCCTCGCCCCCCCTCACACAGACTGAGGACCAGCCTTACACAATGATGTCATGTTTTAGGGATGAGGAGCAAAGCATCACTTGGTTGGGATGCACCTTATAAAGCAGAGGTGTTTTCCATAGGTTTGTTGTTTCCACAGTACTAACAACCACAGACAAACCTGACCTATAGTGGTGGAAAGTAACCAACTACATTGACATTTTCAGGTACTCATCTCATGTATTTTCATTTTATACTGCTTTGTATCTACTCTATTACACTCAGAAGGAAATGTACTTTTTACTCCTATTTATTTCCTATGCTTCACCTAACAATTATCATTATTGATGACTATGATTATTGATTCTGCTGATTATTTTCTCATATGTAAAAAAAACATTTAAACAAAACTAAAACCAAAGGTGACATCTTATTGTTTTTGTTTGACCAACAGACAAAAGAATGGCAGTGCTATGGGCTCACCATTATCTCCTATTGTGGCAGTCCTCTACATGGAAGTAGAAAGCAGGGCCCTGAATGCAACCTAGCTGCCGGGGGTGTGGGGTGCGGCTAACTTTCCCCCAGAGGGCCCTGCGACCAGCCAGCAAGCTAGCTGTAGGGGGAGGCCTTACTCCCCTGCACCTTAGGGTCAAATTAGTGTCAGCATGACTTTGATCTTGTAAAGTACTAATAATTTGTAGTTGTAAATAAATCTTTGTTAACCTGTAAAATAGATTTGCAAGTCCGTGCATGTGAAAAAAAATAGTGCTTATAGTGAAGAGATTGTATGCATTACTTTTGCAGCAATCCCACCATGTAAATAATAAAGGATTCACTTTCAGAAGAAAATTTTAAGTCTGCCCGCCGCTAATAAATTTGCAGTTGAAATTGTTTTAAATTGTGAAGTGGCATTCAATAAAATGTAAACACTGAATGAAGGTGAGTCTGTTTAAGTGGAGCTGTTGAGTGAAAGTGCAGAGAGGAGTCATAGAGTAAGATATGATGATATATAGCACTGTGGAGGGAGGCTATTGTTTTTTCTATTTTTCCTTTTGATGCTTAATGTACATTTTGTTGCCAGTACTTCTATACTTAAGCTTTTGGTGACTTATTATTTTCCTAGTGTTGTATTATTACTTTTACATGAGTAAATGAGCCGATTGTTTTAGCACTGCCAGTGGAGGATCCTCAAAGCACAAACCAGCTGTGGGCTTGGTTTATTAAATAGCAAAGTCAGACAAGATGTCTCAAATCTTTCAATCAAGACTCAAAATGCGTCTTAGTAAAATACAACTGGCTTATAAAGTTTGTCACAGTTTTACAGTATCCAAAGTGAAAGTTTGAAATAAAACTTCAGAGGTCTTGACAGCGTAAAGGCAAGAAGACATTTAAATAGTGTGCTAAGGAATATATCTCCTGATACTACAATAATATCAGTATGGCATTGTAAAAAAAAAAAGAAAAAAAAAAACAACTGAAGACAAGGCTCTAGCAAAATTCTAACTCACCTGATTCTTTTCAACACTCAAATATACAACAATGTACATTATTTTCGTAAACAACCATAATTTCAATAGATAATCTTGTTTACAAGTGCACCTCGAGGAAAAAAAATAACATTTATATCCTTTTGCATCAAATGCCCCCCTTGTCCGAGATCTACCTTAACAGTAAATCTTGTTTGTAAGCTTCTATCAAGAATAAAGACTGTGGGTCCACGACTGTACATATTGTACTCCCTTTCATAACAGTGATAATACATCAGGTCAAAAGTCCAGTGGTTGAAGCAGAAAGGACACATGCTGGATTTTGATGTCTTGGGACCACAGCTGTTACTCTCCTGTTTCTTCTTAGCTCAATGATGGACCTATCCTCGGTCTCAAAGGGACTCCAGTCGAGTTCCAGTACTGGTTCTGAATTTGTTGTTTCTACTGACGAGTGCCGGGGGGTAGAGTGAGGTTGGCCATCAGCTCATGAACAGATGTAAATATCGTACACTCACCTGAGAGAAAAAGAAAATAGTTAGAGTTAGCAAAGACATTTAGTCTAGATAACAAAACTGAATTTGATATCACTTATTCTGTAAATTATTCAGTGTTCATTAGCTGGGAGTGCAGTCTCTCACCCTGTCTTGCGGGGTGCAGCTCATTGAACCTCTTCAGGATATTGGAGACCATGAGTGCCGCAGCCCCAGACGAGCTGTGCTGTCTGGGGATGTCAGCCTGCTGAGTGAGGCCTGTGGCCATGTCGTACACAATAGGTACAATAATGCTCACTGGGTCCTGGGGCACTGGGATACGCTGGGTCAGCTGCAACTGTGAGCCAAAACAGATCACATACACAGGGTGAGGCTGGTTAATGTACTTCAAATGATGCTCCACAGGTACAGTGCGTAACCTTTGTCCTGGTTTTGCAAAGCTAATTATGAGGCTCTGCTGTGACTTACAAAGAAGAGCATCTTGGACTTGAGCACCACAGCGATGGTCCCAGGTGGTGCGATGGGAGGAGCACTGGGAGGGATGGTGAGACAGAACTGGACGTTCCACTTCAGCTGTCCAGCCTGGTCAGGGAACTGCAGAGAGAGGCAAGGCAAGATTATTTATACAGCATCTTGAAAACACAGAGGCAATTCCAAGTGCTTTACATAAAGTGAAGAAATGCATCAAGAAGTAAGAAGGATGATTAAACTATCATAAAGTACAGTGGAATACATTCACATACACTTCCACAAGTACAGTCTGTGCAATGTGCCACACTTACAGTACTGCAGTACACAGATGCACAAGATGGGTTCATCAAGGTGTATGGTGTTTTAAGGGGGGTACGGTGTAAAGATGTCGCCAAATAATTTTCTCATGTTCTACAGTTTGTGTAAAAATATATATTGAATATTTCAAAAAGATAATAAAAGTACTTAATCCCCCACATAAACTACCATGGCTCACACACTATCATAATTAAATACATGCAACTTATAAACAAACCAGCTACCCACCAGTTCCAGCTTCATGATGCGCACACAGTCCCTAAGGATGTTAGTGGGTGCCCCCAGCAGCTTTGTGAAGGCATTCAGAGTGTTGTATTTGAAGGGAGGACCAGCAACCTAAACAGACGACACCCGGAGAAGAATGAAAAATCAACATTGATGTAAAAAAGTGGATGATATTACCAAAAAAAAATAATAATCTAAATGCAAGATTGGGACCAGTCATCACTGTCAAATTAACAGACAGGAATTTTAATAGAAGAACTAAAACTTTGACTTTATATATAAGCTGAGAAAAACTTTTCCATATTATTCAAGTACGTGTTCGAGTAATTTATGAATCGGACCTTTAGGCACACGCTGCCTTTACATACCCGTGTCTCAAAGAACTTCTCCAGAACCTGAAGCTCCTCCTGGGACCAGGGACCGGTGTTTTCTGGAGTGACTTTGAGCTGCAACGTCTGGTAGTTCTTTGGGTTGAGAGCAACCCGGCACTTGAGCACATCCGTCTTGAACATTATCACCCCAGGCTCATTAGAGTTCACAATGGACAACTGGAAGAGCGTTGGCAGAGTAGGGGAAATAAGTGGAGAACACACAGCAAAATTTAAGGGAACCAGCAACAAAAAAAAAGCAATCATCCAATGTCCCTGGCAGCATGATTTGTGCAACACTCACGTTGGGTTCCTGCTGGATGATCCTCTGCAGGTGTCGTCTCATGATCACTGAACCCAGAAAGCGCTCCAGCGGCGAGCAGAGGTAGCTTCCTGCCAGGCCTGGCACCAGGCAGGGGGTGGGTGAGGGTAGCAGAAGCACATGCAAGGCATTGTGGGTGAGGATGGTAGGAATGGAGGCAGCCCAGGGGCGCTGAGGTAGCTTTCGGGGTGGAGGCATACTGGTAGGCATGACTTGTGAACCTAAAATGAAGAAAAAGATACACAAAATGCGTAAACACGATGTTTTGCATGGTAATTGAAGTGGTTACATAAATAGGATATAGAAGAAAACTTGTTTTTTTTTGTTTTTTTTTTTAATCATGTGAGGCAACACTGAGAAAGCAGAACTTACTGGTACCAGCACGTGGAGAATGAGGATCAGGGATCGGTGAGTGCAGCGACGGGTTACCGGGAGACATGCCATGGATCCTTGCCCCAGGAGAAGGCCCTGAGACCTGGGGTGAGCCGGGCCACTGGCCTCTATGGCTGGGAGACACCATGGCATATGGAGAGCTGGGGTCCAGAGCACCTAGGTTAAAACACGAGACAGCCATCAGGCACATAGCAACACTTAACATACAACAACAAACGCAGTGAGATGAATACACCACTGTGTGCCCACACTTTACACATTAGTTGTCATATGCTTGCTCGTGTCTGCAGCCCACAAGTGTCTAGTTCAGCCCGTTCCAGCCCTTGCCCAGCAGGCCAGAATTACCACCAGGCCACCCTTCTGCTTACCGTGGGGACTGGCAAAGCTGGTCTGACCCATGGCTATGCCCAGAGAGGACGGAGACGGGGTGGGCCCAAAAGGAGAGGGTGCCCTCAGAGCCCCACTAGGGGAGCCAGAGGCATGGATGTTCCCTGCATACACACACATACACACACCAAAGGGCTCGTCAGACTCAGAGGTTGACAAGTTCTCCACACACACACACACACACACACACACCACACACACACCACACACACACACACACACACACACACACACGCGCTAAAGCTGGGCGGAAGGGCTGTAGTCTCTGGCTGGCGGGCTGAGATGGCGAGGAATGGAAGGAGCAAGGCTAAAAGCATGCTTTGTTCCCTCTTAGCTGTGCAGTGTGTGCATGTTGCATGAAGAACACAACTGATCTCATGGTTTCAAAAAATTAAAATGGGCACACATGGTTGCTCTTCCTCATTCTCTCTGACATGCACACAATTTGCTCTTGCAGCAACTGCACAAGTCAGCAGGAAGGTTGGTGACAGTAATGTGATATATTCCAAAACAATGGT